GTAACCTGCAGGCGCTTTACTACAGGTCTCAATTTGCATAGGATGCAACTTTCCTAAGGGGCAAAAAGATCAGGTAATTTCAGTGAAATCAAATTTTTGCAACAATTTTTAAGGTATTCAAATAAAAAATCTTTCTGCTAAGATAACATGAAGATGTCTTTAAAAGCACATGGAACTGAGACACATATTTCTAAATTTCTGGTGAGTATATTGTTTGTAAACATACCAACGCCAAATTCCTTGGCAAGGCGATCGGCTAGCGACATGCGTTCTTCGCCGGACTCAGAGCTAGAACCAACAGACATATCGCTCGTCGATGGAAGCGCAGTACTCGGAGATTCGGTTGGCACAGGTAATGGGGGTGGAGCTGGGGGTGGAGGCAGACATGACTGAAAACGTGTTTGAGTAAAAGCACTTATGCAATGTATATTTCGCGGACCTCCTCGAGAATCATTTTCTTCACTACTTCTAAATTAGGTGGGGTACCGAGTGCTGGCATTGAGATGTCCGTGCCCAACGGCCGCAGGATAGAGTTTTGATCCTGGAGAGTTTAAAACATATAGAGGCCCGAGTATAAACGTCTCACCGCCAATCCTACCATTGGGGAATCCATTGGTGGCATAAAAGAACGTGTTATTCTGCTTGTGATGTCACCAACACGGATTCGAACATCAGCAGAAGGTCCAATATGAGGAGCGGACGTCATTCCGGATGAAGCGGTGCCCCCTTCAGATGCCATAGTGCTCCGCCGCCTCTTGTAATCCTCCAGACTCAGTCGTTTTGCCTATTTGTGTAAATGCAGAACGGAAACAGTGAAACACTACCGAAAACAACCTTTTTTACTTCAGCTGGAGAGCCTAAGGATAGCGTTGATGCAGTGGATGTAGTTGCAGTAGTATCAACAGAGATTGTGCTTGCCATAGTGGCACTGTTACGCGATGTTGGAGGAGGCAATGGTTTTTGCACAGACCCGGCTAATTCAAAGTCGACATTCGAAGATTCTGTCCAGCTTGGCACAGATGAACGAAGAGCCATGTTCCAGTGAAAACGGAATCCTTCCGCTGAATAAGAATGCGATGAAAAGTTTAATGCACGGCGCCTACAAAAATAAACTTGCTTTTTGAACCCATCTGAGCCAGAGCCGCAGCAGCAACGTGTTCATCAGATTGGCAAGCATCAAGCATGTGGCGCCGTTTCTTCAAGGGGGGACTCATCTGTGACAAAACTATAACTTTCACAACTAATATGCAACTATCTCACCTGCATCCTAGAAGGTACAGATGTGATATCACTAGTAGAATCTGCAGCACACGACAGAGGTTGTTCTGGAGTGGAGACAGTTTCCAGAGCTTGTGAATTCTCTTCGCTGATAGATTCGGCAGCATGTCTACGGAGCCAAAGCTTCTTTCCGCCCACACTACTTAAACTGGGACTGACAGAGTCAGCCGGTGCAACGTCAACAGTTGCCATTGGAGTTGAAGAAGATGAGGAGGTAACTTCAGGTGAGGATGCACGCTGCGCAGCTTCTGTAAAAATGTAATACAACAGCGTCATCTGAAGCTGAGAAAGTTAGCAGAAGTGCAATTGATGAGCGAACCATTTTCTTTCACAGCAGCAGCCCATCGCTTTCTGGGCGGTTGTACAACAGTGGAAGCTTCAACGACTTCATTTTCTTTGGATTCCTCTCCTATGAAATTACTAGCATTTGATTGGAGGAGCAGAGAAGAAGAAACAACTTGCTTTTCTTTTTGCCGCGAGGGCTCTCTCTGGGAGCTACCGCTTCAACCACGGATTCCACCTTCTTCTCTTTTTCCTTAACAGAACTCTCAACACTCCTATCAGAACCTCTTCGCCCTCGTTTTCCCGAACTTCCCATGTTGCCGCGAGCTGGTCGACCGGGACCCTAAAATTTGTTTCATGCACAAACCCGACAATTCGACGAAGTATTATCCAAAAAAA